ATTTTTGAAATTTCAGATTATAGTTTCAAAATTTTGGATTATAGTTTCAGGGTTTCGGATTATAGTTTCAGGGTTTCGGGTTTTTTGGTTTCGGTTTTTTTTAAAAATCTGAAACTAGTTTCGGATTAGTATCTCCCGAAACTAGTTTTGGGTAGGTTTCGTTTCGAGTACCAACTTTAATATAGATCAAGATATATATAAAGACATAATAGAAAGTGATTTCAAGATGAGCAGGGGCATTTTATATGTGGTATAGTCTCATTTTTTTTATTTTTGTTAGGACTTTTATATGTTGAATTTTTTTTTTAATCAATGCTGGCTAACATTTTTCATTATTTGTAGGATGATAATTCTATTAGTCTAGAGGTATTTTATAGATATAAAATTATAGTTTCTCATATCATTCTAATTGTTTTTATTTTTTAGAACATATTGCAACAAGTTTCAAAACTTGGCTATTCAACAATTTCTACAACCAATGGTCTAGAAGCAGTAAAATTGATTGGTTCGAAATTAGTCTATTCAGATATAGATCGGACAAAGCCTCATAAAATTTCATTAGTTTTAACAGAATATAATTTAGTAAGTTTATTTTCTAAATTTATTGTTTATATCTATCATAACGAAATATTCGCAATTCATTAATTATTATTCTCAGCTGATAATGTCAGGCTTTGATGTTTCACAAGCAATTAGAGCAATGAAACCACCAATTTCAAATATACCAATCATTGTTCTAACAGCTTTACCAGTAGAAGAAATACAAAATAAATGTATCAAGTTAGCAATAAATGATTATCTTGCAAAACCTTTGAACATTGAAGAACTTAAAAATGCTCTAACTAAATGGATTGGTGAAAATTAGAATTAATTATGACAAAAAGTATTATAAATTTATAAATATTCATACTACATTTTTAAGCTTAGATTTCTAACTTATTAACAATATCTTTATAATATAAAATATAATTTTGTATTTGATGTTTTGTAAATACATGTATAGATTTCTATTGAATTTAATTTCACCAATTCAGTACCAACTTTACCAATTGCGGTGAAATTATTTCACATCTTTAATTATATGTTCTAGTTATATTTTATTTATATTCAATTACTTTTTAAGCCTTTATTCCTATTATAGTTTATATGATTATTTTTCATGTTCGAATTCTTGCTTGTATAAAAATGTTAGATATTTATATTTACTCAAATTGGTCAAATCATTGATTGATAAAAATTTGTTGATGTTTAGAAATCTCCGATCAAGCTAGGCTGGTAAAATGATCTGGTTGGTTGAAGTTTAGTACGAATATTTATCAATTTATAATTTTCATAAGCTTTTGTTATACCGAAATGTAATATTTCTACAGTGCAAATCCTAATATTTTTTTCATTAAAACTATTAAAAATGTAATGTTCGATATTAACTTTTTTTTTTTTTTTTTAATATTAATGGTGAGACCATGTCTCTAACTTTATTAAAATTTAATTTGATTCTTCTACAA